CTCTTTGAGTTGTGCCCATTTCATCGCAGCACATGAGACTCACACCATTCCAACCTCACCCCTCTGGGTCAGTTTGCTAAATTTTGTACATATTTTTGTAAGGAAAAGAAAATAAAACTCAATTTTTAGTGGTTTCAGGCTAAAGAAACTTTATTGTTTTTTAATATTTTTTAATATTTTTCGCGTCTTGAGTGAAACACATAAGAATTTAAAGGAAAATAAAATTTATTAAATTTACGAAATCAAAATAAATATTAAACATTAAATAAAATCACATTTTGTACTTAAGGTTTTCCGAATAAATCTACTTTCGCACGAAATTCCTTGAAAATGCACAACAGTTCTATTATGGAGTTCTATTATATAGTAAAGAGTTTATAGTTCATATATATAGTTTCTAGCATAGAAAAATAAAACTGAATGGGAAGAATATTAAAATGTGTTTCAAATAAATTTTAAACAAAAAGAAACGTTTCTTTGCGCCTTTTTTTTAATATTTTTTTTACATATAATATAGATTTATAATTTTATTTAAGTTTTCATATATTTTCAATACATATTTTTTTCACTTTAAACATCGATAAATCTTTGGGACCAGTAAATATTTGTAAATTTTGTTGTTATATTTAAGGTTTTTATAGTACTCGTAGTATATTTTTCTATAATTTTTTATTTTAAAATTCATATTTATATATATATATGTATGTATATATACACTTATGTATATGTTTAAATGTCGTATCTGTTCGAGTTTAAATGCAAAAATTCAATTTAAGCACAAAACATTTAAATTAATTTAAAATCTTTTACACATACATGTATGTGTGTGTGTATGTGTGTGAATGTGTGTTTAGTTAATTTTTTATATATTTAAATTTTTTTTAAAAATAATTTTTTCCAAAAAACAGTCATTATAAGGTTGCTGCATAATTTCAATAAATATGTTTAAATATGCTCTGAGCCACTTAACTTTAATTAATTCCTTTATATATGCATGTACGCATGTACGCATGTATGCATGTATGCATGTATGTGGGTATGTTTTTGTTTATGTAAATACACATATCCATAAACATAATATAGTAGTTAGGTATGTATATATAAAGAGATATATATGCATGTATTTACTTTTGCTTTGCTTAATACACTACAACACATTTACATGAATGCCATATATTATAATCGGTAATATATATATATATATGTTTTATTTATTATAATAATCATTTTTTAATATACATTTAATTGTTTAAAATAGTTTATAAGTAGAATACGTTTATGTTAACCCATTAGTTAGTTGCTATTGAAATAGTGAAGGGATGGGCAGAAATTGGTAGGGATTTGGAATCAACCCCATCACCATATTAGTTTGTCCATTGCTTAGTCCATTGCTGGTGGCTAGAAAGCAGAGCAATGCCGTTCTCAGAATATAAAGGATGTACATAATAAAAGCCATGAAATATATTTAAAAATTAAACTAATTTTAGTTGAATCAAATTTTGTTTTAATTTATTAATTATAGTTTTTTATTTTTGTTTTTGTTTGGAAGCCTTCGATATTTGTAGCCTTCAAGTGTTAGAGAAAGTGTTTATTCATTTACACATAAGAAAATTTTAACAATTATATTTGTTTCAAATATATGTATATATATAGAGAGAGTTATATTACGAGTATAATAAATATATTTCAAAAAATTCTTTTTCTTTCTTTAGTTCTTTAAAAAAAAAATAATATTATGTATTCAATTATGTGTTCTAAATATTCTCACTTCACAAAGTTGATTATGTTTTAATTCCTTTAATTTAACCAATTTCAGTATTTTTAATTATTCTAATAGTATCAATTGTCTATGTAGGTGTTGAAATTATTTTCTTTTATTTTATTTGATTAATTTTCAAAATTTTAACAGGTGTTTTAGTTTCAATTACTCTAGGATCTTCTTTATTCTCTGTACCCTTCAATCGGTCAGTTAGTCTCAAGTAATAGTAACAGTAGATCAATTAATTTAAATAACTTTAATTTATTTAGTAAGTTAAAAAAGCTTTTGTACTTTCGTACCTTTATTTTTTTATTATTATTAAAAGTAGCATTCAATTATTTAAGCCGATTCAATTTTTGATTTGTGGTTAAAATCGATAGATTGACAGATCGATAGATTAACCTGTCAGATTTCAATCATGTCAGTGATCTTGAATGGCTTTAATCGGTATTCAGTATTCTCATCGCTTATGCGCTTCAATCAAACAAATATCAAATAAAATAAGAATAAATTTATTAACAAAAATTATTCACTATATATCTCTATATATAACAGATGTATTTAACATCTATGTTACAGGGATGTGCTGTTAATCCTTTATAAATCCTTGCAGTCTATTGCAGTTTCAAATATTATCTTCATGTATTATCTATTATAGCTTAAATTCACTTCAAAGTTGCAACTTTTGCAATTCGATAATCTAAATTATTTTAACTATTTTAGTAGTAGATTTTAAACTAGTTCGGTGTTACGACTATTTCCTTCAATTTGTATGCCTTTGAGTGTTAATTATATCAAATATTTGAGTTTGCAACATCAGCATCAAGTACTTTATCAAAAGCAAGTGCCAAAGATATTGACATGTCTTTAGCCTCAGTGCCAAAAGCTTTATATATTCATATATATTTATGTACCATACTGCTATTATGGCATATGTCGAGCACAAGTAATCACAGGTATTGTCTATTCGATATTTCTATTTCAGGTTTAAAGTATGGTTTGTTTGAAAAATTCCATTAAAAATATGGATTAATTAACTTCACTCTATTAAAGCCGCATGCCATAGACTCGTGGTCTCTTTAAGGAAGACTGTCACTCGTATTTACCATCTAGACTAAAAATATTTAAATGAATGGTTCCAGCTAAGAGATTGCATTTCACTATTCCTACAGAACTTGCGCCACTAATAAATTAATTTCAATTACTTAATTTATTTAATTAATTAATTTAATTCTGAAATTACTTAATTTCTTCATAAAGTAATGAAGATTTCATAACTGATTTCAACTTCTTACTTGATTTGAACTACAAATTCATGTAACTACATAAGTACTGATTTCTGATAATAGAATGGTTTCAAACTCAGTTCTAGCTTTATTGGTTTGAACTTAGCTTTATAATTTCAAGAGTTAGAGTTTATATTATTCTAGTTACTGACTTTAGGTTTTTCAATAAATGCTGGAATATTAATGAATTTTATAGAAATTTCAATAAATTTCAATTCGTTGGACTTAATTAATTAAAAACATAATAAATTATTTAAATTATGTTATTAACTTAGCGGTGTTAGTGGCTTCTCGTGAAGTATAGCAGGGTCTTAGGGGAAGTAATCACACAAAATGTGGAGTGCAAAATGTTTTAAACTTTTTAAAATATTGTAAAATAATATGAAAATTTTAATAAGATTTTATTTTTAGAAATTGATGAATTCTAATACACTAAGTTTTGTAGATAATAGATGGTAAATACCAGAGACATCTTATCTTTAGCTTTAAGAAGTTATTGAAGATAAACTATTAAAACTGTTCTACTAGAAAGCTTTTAATTACTCATACTATATATGCTGTATTGTCTGTATGATCTGTTTTTCAATTATCTGTTCTGGACAGAACGTGGTAGTAAATTTTATATGATATTAGAAAAAGAAAAAACCGTCTACACTCGGAGATAAGACAGAAGGATCTAAAGCCTACTTTTCAAAATAATTATTCGGCTAAATCGGCCGAATTCCATATATTATTTATAAATATAATATTATGATCTGTCTTAGCGCTAATTATTTATTTTCGATTACTTTGTAGAAAAAATAATTAGATGTATTTAATGAAATTTTTATAATTTGTAGAAAAGATGCTTCAGGTCCCAACAATTATTTTTATATTGTTTATAATAATTTAATTAATAATTTGAAACGAAACATTTGTTTAAGTAAAGTTTTTTGTTTGTGAAGTTAAAAACGATAAGAATTTCTTGACACTTGAAAAGGTTTGAATTTCCTTACCATTAAAATAACTTTGATATAGCTTTCATTTTTATTCAAGAAATCTCTTAAATATGTTGGAATAATTTAAAAATTATAATTAAAAAATATAATTGATTAAAATTATAATCAAAAAATAAATCAAATTTGAATGAAAACATAATTTATATTTATTTATAATTATATTAAAACCATTTTATGTAATTAAATATTTTTTATATTTTAAAATCCAATTAAAATCCAGTAGTTAAAAAATGAAAATATAATGAAATTTCATTATTTTAATTTATGTTTTTAAAAATGCTTAACAAAAACAAAAAAAATTAACTAAATTAAACTTAATTAAAGCTTTTGTCACTTCAACTTCAACAATATTGAATTATTATAAATATTCATATAATATTACTGATAGTATTATCAGTAATATTACTGATAGATATTTTCATCATAATGTGAAATGAATTAATTAATAATTAATATTCAAACGATTTCAAGTGTTTCTAACGATCGACACGATTTATTCAATTACCTTGAATGCCTTTAAACAGTTTTTTTTTATAATTTAATTTCAATTTCCCAATTAAAAATGTATAATTATTTATTAATTATTTTTTATAAAAATTTTAAAGGTTTATTTATATATCAATATCAATATTCCAATATTTCAATATTTCAATATTTTTATTTCCTTAAAATTTGACACATGTAATTGATAAAATATTCATAGACTGTTTATATGTGTATTCATATATATATATATATATATATATTATATATATACATATGTTATAAATTATTTTTGTATATACATATATAATAAAAATTTCAACAAAAAAATCTTCATAAATGATATTGTAATATTATAATAATAAAAACGTAATGCAACAGATTCCTTCGGGGAGAGGAAGTTAGAGTTTGTGTAGCAATTTATTTGTTTGATATTATCGAAGATTTTAATAAATTTTTGTTTATATGATATTTGAATTTTATAATGCATTCATTTATGTTTTTATTTAAAAGTATTTTTCTTGATTTCCATTTGCATTCAAATTTGATTTGACAATGGAGCGCTTCTTCTTCTTGGCAACCATAAAGCGTTTAGTGGAATAGCCTAAAAGTTCAATAAAAAAAAGAAAACAAAAGATATATACTTTTTATTCAAAAATTCAAAATTTAATAATTTTTTTTTAAATAAATAATGAAAATATTAGCCGTACCCTCGTATTATTATTTATTAATTAACACTCAAGAGAAAAGCACACTTAGTTGGGAACGATTAAAACTAAAAATATAGTTTTGAATACGATTTATAAGTCTACTTTAGAAAGACCTTAAAAATAGCTTCAACTTCAAACAAAAGCAACGAAATTTTAAAAAACTAATAATAATTAATTACATTCTTTTAAATCAATTAATAAATATAATAATTTAATAAATATAATAAACTTATGTCTCGTCAAATTTGATAATTTCGTAGGCATACTTCAAAAAAACAATATCGAAAAAATATTAGAAACTAGCAAGTTTATATTTACTCACATTCATATTTCAGACATACATAATGCATACATACACGCATCAACAACATTGCAAAAACAAAAGAAAAACAGAAAGAAACACCAGATAGAAAAATAATATTAAGAAGAAGAAGAATAAAAGAAAACTTTTCATAGAATATTTTCTAAGCCAATAATAAAAACAATGGAATATATAAGATTATAATAAAGCTATTAAATATTAGAATGAGAGACCAAGTGAAGAGTGTTTACGATCACAGAAATAAAAAAAGTGGTGACAGTAACGGATCATAAGCAAATAACTTTGGGGATTAACCAGTGGCACCAATTGTCCTAAATAGATGACAAACTAAAGATATTAATCGGTATTAAAATGACAAAGACTAAGCGTTTTTAAGGATTAAAAAGACATTTAGTTAACTTTAAAAGAACTTCTGCCTTTATGTTTCATATATATAGTATTTTAAAAATCGGTAATATATGCTAGAAATTGACTTCATGGGTCTTATTTAATACAACAGTTCACAGATAATGCAATAGGGAATATTTTTACTGCAATCATCTAACAAAAGTGATGCTGATCTCAAACAATCGTTTTCGTACTAATTTCCCTGATTGTGATAATACCTCAAATTGTCATAAATTTAAAAACCTCTGCTTCGAAACTGAAGAAGCCTTTCATAGACTTATCTAAAAGGGTTGGCTAATCATAGCAATGACAAAGATATTACATCAAATAATACAAGATATTCAATAAGGAGAAATATATGCCTTAAAGACTTAATTCAGTAACTAGGTATAACAATGTAAAGAATGGATCTCTTAGAGTAGATACGATCCCCTGTGTAGTCGATATGACTGCGTAGTAAACTCTTGCTATAACTAGCAGAAATAGGTAGTGTTTGAATTTATAAATAAAATAGAATACTATCTTCTTTGAAAAAAATATTTACTTAAATCTAAGATACACAACTTAAACCTTAAGCATAACTACCAAAACATTAAAATTAATAGTCTTTAGTTGACGGATCTCAAATACTTAAATCTTAACAAGTACTCGTAACGTCTAAACTGGTAATGGAGTATCTAGAAATAATAAGCAATAAACAGTTAAATAAAGGAAATATAATAGCAGTCACAAATGTACGCAAAAGGACAGCGATTTCGCTTGTAGACCCAGTGTCCTTTGTAGCCGAGGAAAACATAACGCTTTCCTATTTATTGAAAATGAAGGAAAAAAGAACAAAGATGACTATAATCGACTATATCAAATTTAAAATCGCTGACAAGGACACATGATCTAAGTCAATAAAAACTCTCTTTTAAAGTTATTAAAGAATATCTCCAGAATTATATTAGGAGTAGTGACAGAACATTGTAAGTTTAATTGTCAACTAAATAATTAGGGAATCTCCAATTTGAAAGTCTGCAGGATTTGGAAGCAGGAATAGCAGGCAGCAAAGCACGTGCTGAAAAGTGACCCGCACTGATGCAAAAATGAGAAAAACACCTTATTAAATAAATAACACCCGATGGTGACATGTCGGTAAGATATCTTATCGGTAAGATAACCCAATGCTACTATTTATGGGGCAAAATATAGTTAGTATTTAGAATCAGGGTGCTTTATATTAATCAAAATAATAACATATGATGAACTAAAAAAAATTAATATATGAAATATGGTATTTCTGTTCTAGTCTTATAAATAACATATGTAATAATAATAAGTATATGTATTAAAATAAAATAAAATGAAATCGGTTTTACTTTAAACTTTTTTAATACAATTGCTCTCCTAGCTTATTTATTGACCTACCGTTAATTAAATAGCACCTCCAACTACTGGCTGTTGGGAGTGATGGTTTCATTTACAAAAAGAAAACTCTTTGATACTTACGATTGCCGGTAGCAGTGCGTGGTGCACTCATTTCATATTTGGGCATAGTTTCAACATTGACAGGTACCCCATAGTAATCGACAACAGCCGGTTCAAGCCAGGAGTTGGGCATACCGTAGTCCACATCCTCAACGGCTGCTGGATAATCGTAGTTGTTCATATTGGCATTGCCATAATACATTTTGCCGTTGTTGTATGTGTCGGCTGCTGGGTAGGACATATAACTATTTGCGTTCTCCTCCTCGGTATCCTTACGTGCACGTTCACCAGCTTCCACAAGCGCTACAAGTGCCAACATATCTGCGGGCGTAAGGTTTGTATCGCGTTTGAGACTACCATGTTATCACCGAACCAAACGCAACGCAAACGCAACGCAAACGCAAGTATTCCGAACGTAATGGACGTAGTGGAAAATATTGCAAGGAAATAGAAAATAAATATTTTATTAAAAAATATGAATGAATTGTAAATGAGTGAGTGTGGAAAAAGAAATTGTATTCAGTGTAGCTGAGCTGAGCTGAGCTGAGCTGAACTGAACTGAACTGAACTAAACTGAGATATACTGAATCGAGTTCGATTCAGTTGAGTTCAGTTGACTTGCTTTGCGCTGTACAAATTATGAAAATTTTAGTGACCTTTAAGCGCCGCCAGCTTTCTTCCAATATGTTCGGATGATGGTGCGTGTGTTTGTGTATCCTATTTTGTTATTTTTTATTTAAATCAACAATATTCTTTGAAACGTTTATAAATTATTCATAAACAAACAATATTCGCTGAATTTGAAATATTAAAGCAAACAAGCGTTAACAGTAATTGCAAAAAAGTTAGAAAATTTTTCTTTAATAAAAATGATTGGGAAAGTTTCCACACGTTTTCATTCCACGGGCATGATGCCATTACACATTCAAAATAAAAAGATGAATTTGTAGAAAATAATTATAGTCATCGATCGAAAGAGTTACCAAGACATTAGCAATAGTTTGTAGAGTAGGTGCGCTGCTAAAGAGAAAGCATTGCTCTGAACCTATAATGTTTGTCTCGGAGAATACTCATATAAAGGTTCCAGAGTATAAGAAGAATATTTAAAATTCGACAACACCGGACAGAAAATAATGATTTTCGATTAGATTTAGACATAATTTCTACATTTAAAATTTTCAAAGCCTTTATTCAACACTTGGCTTGAGACCTCGTTACAAGCATCTTCAAATAACTGAAACGTATCAAAGTACAATATTTCATCACTTCATGAACGTCCCAGTAAAATACCTTCAAAAACCACTAAAATGACTTTTAAATATTTAGCAACAGATCAGGAAAGGTCAATCGTATAAAGCATTTAATGATTTCACATATCAATCCATTATCTATATTAAAATTTTATGCAAGTGTACATTCTTTTTCTTCATAGAATTTTTTGGCTTATATGACATGATACAACTTTATTCCAGAAAATAGTGCCATTTTGAAGCACACGAAATATACACATGAGCAATATCATATGTTATTACCCAAATTAAAGCCAAGCTTATAAAACACCCTACAAACCAAGAATTATATGAGTCTAAATAGTCTGGTTAATTAGCATTAAACCAGAAATTATATACTTTCGGGCAAATAACTGCACTATATTTGCACTGATATGTTAACAAAATTCTACAATATGGAACATCATAATGTACACTTTAATATAAAATGTTTAAGCCACTCAATACCACAAAGTAATGGAGGAGTTGCCGTTAGGACTTGGGTTCGACTATGTCTTGGGTATACACACATAACACTTACTTGTGGGAAACAATAAAGATTTATAGCCTTTCTGTAGCCCAACCAAAATGGTATCGACTGGCGATATATGTAAACAAATTATACGACTTCCAACTTACAGCAAATACTACATACTTCATATAGCACTGAGTATTAGTGATATAAATATGCAGTGCAATAAGGAAGTGCAATAAACTTTATTATTCGGAGAAAACCAATTTACAGATCTCACATTCTGGTAGTTAGGATCGTGTATAGTTAGTCAGGTTGCAATAATTTGATGACTCTGTAGAATAAAATAAAACAAAAAGAGTAACTATATCTTTTTATGAACTTATATTTTAATATGTCTTTCACTTTTTAAAGTTATTTTTATTAAGTTTCATCTGCCGTATCGACATAGATTATTCAATAGATTACTTACTATTTTCTTCCATACTCCGAATGTGACACAAAAAAACTTATTTCTGGGACCAGAGTTACAAGTTGTTTTTTTGATTAATCCTTTTAAGTAAGACCGAATACGAAATAGTGTTTATGCTATATATATGTAAGGCATATATTTTTTAACATATTTCTATAAGCACATATCTGGTTGTATTAAATTTTAAGTTTTGAACCGCACCAACACACCCCGATCTTTATGTATCTGTAGTCCTGTAGTCTTTGTCGATTGTTTATAGATAAAACTTTTTTTAACTCTCTGATCTTATTAGAGACTTTTATACATATAACCATTAACCCATTTAGTTTTAGGTGTTAACACAGAGACGTGAATAATATATAGTAATTGGGTACTTTTAATGTGTAAATGTCAATACAATAGCTTTATGTATCAGATTGGTATAATTCAAAATAGTTTCTCTTAGTTCTAAAGTTCTAAACCGAAAACCTTAAGCAATATGAGTTTCTAAAATTCTTTGAATTGTTCATTGAGTGTTTATGAGATTTAGACGTTATATTCTGGTGTCCGACTTTATATGATTTTAGAGGGCATCAAAACAGTTCACCTTATACCAATAGACAAATATTTAAATTATATTATTTATTTAAAAAAGAAGAAAACGCCATTAGAGGTATTTGAAGGTGAATCAACAGAAGTGCATATAAAAATTATAAGGCGATTATAACAGCAAAGCTGACATCCGAAGTGGGCGCTCACAGGAAATACGTGGTCATAATTTCAATTTTTCAGTCATCTTCTCTTCAACCACAAAATGTCGTAGGTTTCTGTTTTGTTGATTTGTTGTTGTTGTTTTTGTTGTTGTTGTAGCTGTAGCTGTTATTGTTTTTGGTATTTTATTTTGATAAAATTTGGACAGAGTGTCACAATAGATTCTTGTTTGCATAAAGCACACTCAACTTTCACATTTTCGTCCTCTATTCGTAGGTATGTGTGTCCGTTGAAAACAATTTACCCAGCCGACTGAGGTTTTGGAACTTTGGGTCATTGTCACTTAAAAGTCTTACATTTTTTCAAAACAAATTTTACACATTAACCACATCAAATGAAATTATTTTTGAGTTCCCTTTTAGAGTTCTATGTGGAAGAAGTTTGATAAACTGACGTTATGGCAATTAATTTTATTTGGTTTAAAAGTTGGAATTTAAAAACCTCTCATTTAGTTGGGGTGTGAGTATTCATGATGGTAACAGAAAAGCGGTTACTTATTTATATTCCAATTTTTAGGTGTTATAATAAATACAAATTTTTATATCAATAATTAAACGTTTTAAGTAACTTCCAAAGGTTTGGTTTTTATAGAAGATGTACTTAACCAAAAAATTAAGCCGTTAATCTTACTTACATTATGGATATGTGACCTTCTATCCTTTAAGTAATCAATATAGAATTATATCAATGTAAGATTACTTATCATTAAATCTTCAAGACATAACTATGAAAACAGTTAATCAAACTCAATTATAATTTGCTTAGTTCAAAAATGGATGACACTTAACGGCCTGACTACACAAATTAGGCAGTTAATTAAACTATACTCGTATATCCAATAAATTTACACATTTATTTTGAATGACCCTAGAGTAAAGTTCAGAGAAATTTTTGATACCTGAAACATATCAGATGACAATGGAAATAGTTTTGATACCTCCAAACCGTATTTAGAATTATTAAAGAGTAATTAACATATTACAGTGCGTTAGCATGAAACAATGGATGAAGTAAGACTTCACCCCTTCACATTAAAGCAACCATCAACTGAGTGGAGAAAAGTTGATGAGGCTGGTTCACCAAACAAGTTTTGTTATGTCTTATTATGGCCTATGTGATATGATATAATATGATATAATTTTAATGAACTATCTTGATAAAGAAAAAGAAACCGTAGCGAATATTAAATTGTGGAAAAAGTACCCTAATACCAATGTAATACACCGACTGTCAGGCATAAAATACAATGGATCAATAACATCTAACACTTTACTCGACATACTGTAATTTTTAAAATCGTTTGATGTCAGTAATGTGACTTGTATAAGCGGATGCAGTAAAAAATTGACTCCAGACACGTATTTGTCGCTATTTATGCAGAATCAGATAAGGGGTAAATAGTTGGCTTGTTTATTTATAAGACTATATTAATATGTACACATAAAAAAAAAATCAAACAAAAACCAAAGAATATGAAATGCTCTCTAGTACCGATGAAATCTCAACACAGCTGATAATGGCTACTCAAACTCACAAATAAAGTTAGACATTCTCAGAGACAATCGAAGGCTATAACCAATTCTAGTTTTCTTGATGAATGACAACTATGACAATGTATAGGATAGATTCTGAAACAAAGTTACACTCAGTGCGATAATGTAGGACAAAGTATCTTAGTGGAGAGTTCTGATATCCTATACAGCAAAAAACTCTACATTCGTCGAAAATCGAAAAATCTATTTCAAATGTTTCTTCTCAAAACAATAAAATGGGTCTACTTGGTTCACCTTAAAGAGATTTTTGCAATTGTAAGGGTACAAAAAGAACTACAGAAAAGTATGAATCAGAATATTACAACTCTATAGATGGAACCATTTCAAGGACATTGTAATGCTTCAAAATACGAAATAGGCCTTGAAGGTTTTCAGATTTCATAATTTTTTAAGTCAAGATATCTGATATATTATACGTAGGTTAAATATCTATACTTATAAACCCAATTTTATTTAAACGCTTATATTGAAAATTTCTAAATAAAATTTCCGTTGATAATGACAGAAGGACAAATACGAGAACAAATCCCTAATTAATCGAATCCTTTTCAATATTTTTAATAGGTTTTAATAGGTTATGCCTAATAGGTTTTGGAGCAGTGTGAGGATTGAAGTGAATTTAAAAATTTACGAATTTAATTACTAGAAAAAATCCTACGTCCATTAAGTACGTAGGCCGATTGCAAATTGACGGACATTAATAAATCCTTGTGAGCTTTATGTCTTTGCATGTTACATTTGTTGAAACCATTTTTCCATGTATAAAACAAAAGCATAAGAAAAATGCAGAAAATAAATTATTTTTGCAACCGACAGGATGTGAAATATTCTGCATCGG